CTCCTCTTTAGTGGAGGAGGAATTTGGTAATCGAAAGGTTAAGTGCCTTGCCCACAAACACAGAAAGTGGTAAAATGAGATGAAAACTCTCTTCTCCAGCGTTCTGTCCTCTACATTTCTGCTTACCTTCCTGTGGTTTGCCTCTGTACAACACACATCTAACTCCCAAGGAGAGCCAACTTCCTTCCAAACTGCTCATCTTTATAATTTGGTGAAGCTTATAGCTCTTGCAAATTGTATTACGATATCAGAACTACCCCTCAAAACTTTCATTCCACTAGAACAATTAATAATTACACAGGTTATCATTTTAACTTGTTCCTGTTAACATACTTTTCAGTTACCTCTTTTTTTCTTTCATTTTATCTTTCTCCATCTGCTCCCAACTCCACTCTCCCAGTTGCAATTTATTTAAGGGACTCAGTTCCGTTTTTTTCATATTTTTGTCTCTGTTTTCTTTTTGGTCAGCAGAGCTGCCAGGATATTTCTCTTTAATGTATTATTTTTTCTAAGTAAATATGTATCAAATTCTAAAATAGTTGAAAAGATATTGATAAATTGAAAAAAAAAAGGAAACTTCCGACGTTTCTGTAGCTTTGAAATGGCGAGAGGTCAGACAATTGTCAGGGAGACAGCCTCAGAAGGTGCAGAGCTCATTTGTGTATCTTGCATCTTTTATAGAAAGAAACAATAGCTCCTCCCTCGGTTCGGAGCTCTTGGCGCCGCCCAGTGGAGGGAAGCGTCTTTGCACCTCATTCCCCTCACTTGGCATTGTCATCATGTGGACCCTTAAAAACGTTCAAATTAAATATGATAGGAAGAAACACCAGCTCCACGTTCATCACAATGTGTGAGTGAATTTCTTCAAAGTTAAGTTTCATTTTAAAAAAACTGAATGCCCTAGTTTAAACACAATCTCAAATACTAAATCTAGATGGTGAAAGTGGATCATAGAGAGTTTAGGAACAAAATTTGCTAAATATTCAAGTGTTTGAATCATTCTCTGAGGTGGGAAAGGAGCATCTTTGATGCTGATCGGCAGTGATGTGTCCTTCAGAGCCGGGAAGGAAAAGTTTGTTCTCTGTTACCCACAGTTGGCAATAACTGCTTTCTAGGCCAAAATTCCAAAATCTTCCAAATATTAAAAAAGTTTATTTTTTTCTCTTCCCCTTCTCTTAAGGAAATGAGGGCCTGAAAGTGACTAATTATATTTAAACTCATGTCAGTTTAGAGACTCTATTTATTTGTATTTTCAATCTAGTGAGAAAATCTAATATTAAATCCAGTTAAGGCATTTTCTTTCGTTTAGCAGTATGATATATCTGCACCCTGTTGTGTTTCTGAATTGTGATTTTTTAAAAAATGAAAAGTGAATTATGTTTGCCAGAATATGCATGACTTCTTGGATGTATACATTATATATTTTCAGGAAAAAAAAATGCAAGAGAGGAATGTGTTTGGGGAAAAAAGAACTGAGAAAAGTTAAACAAAACTCCAGCTCTGAAAAAAGTTTTTTCATTAAGTTTGTAATTTGGTCTTCAAGTCCATTTGTGAATCTTCAGGCCACCACTAACATCGCAGCCTTGATAAAAGTTAAGGTCGTGTTTTCCCTTCACCATTATTGCTACTGGAAGCTGATCTAACACCCACCCAGAGAACTCTTCTGTGATATTAACCTTTTCTTAAGAAAATATGATCTGAGACATTCACAAAGTGGGGCCTACTGGGTTCCTGTTTGCTTCGCTTTAGAGTTGTCACAAAACACGCATTCCCCTGCCCCCAACACTTCGACTTTTCTCTCTCCTTTTCAGATTTCATTTTTTCGTAGGGTCATATCTCCATCGTCTCCCCTGCCAATGCTGTGAATTATTCCAAACAAAAAAACCCCTGTCGAACCGCCTAACACAAGCTGTGCGATCAGCCTTTTGAGCTCTTGAGTCATTTTAGGCGTCGGAACAAAACAAAAACAGGCTTAAATGAATTATTTATCAAGGTCGAGAATAATTGATTTGTGCAGTGCCGTAAGTTCTGGATTTTAAATTTGTTTTATCCCCCTCCCCACTTCCCACCCTGAATACGCAGCGAGGGGAGTTCGAGTTGGAACCCCCTCAGGCCTAGGAGAAAACGCAGCATATTCGGGAAGTTGGTGGATGATGATGTTGGAATGGGAAGAACCCTAATCGATATTTGAAGAGGGAAGAGTAGGTAGCGTCCGCCTGCAGTCTCGGGCAGCCCTAGAGCCTTTCCCGTCCTCCCCACAGCGGTCAACTGTGACAGACGCGCGGGGTGCTTAAGCTGCGAAGCTGTGCAGCGCCGGGCCCTGCGGCCTCGGATAAGTCACCTCCGCAAGTCCACCGTCTGTGGTTCGGTAACCGCGGCCGAAGGCCGAGGCCGAGCCCGCGAGCTCTCCGGAGGGTCTCCCGGGCCAGCACTCAGTTCCCGCGCCAGAGGCGTTTGATCCAACCCAGTTCCAGCCTAGAGTGGCCCGACCCCACCGGGGGGCCCAGTCACCCGTTCCCTAGGGCCTCTCGGCACCCCTCTGGCCAGCGTCGGTCCCTGCCGGGATTGAGCACGTCCCGAGTCCCCGCCTCAGCTCACCAACCCCGTCTCCTCCGCCAAACTCCCCTCGCCTTCCGAGAAGTGCGAGAGCTGCCCGGATTGTGCATCTCCTCGCCTCCGTCCCTTCAATGCCCGCTGTTCTCTCGGAACAGCCCTAGGAAAAATGGCACGAAGACGATGAGAAACAGCTCAACCCACCCTCCAAATAGTGCTGTGTTTTTTTTTCTGGGTCAAATACACCGATTTCCCTAGGAAAACGCAGGCAGGATGAGTCGGCCAGCTACCCCCTTCCGGACCCAGGGCTCACACAGAAGCAGTTCCGACCGTAAGGCAAAATCTTGCCCCAGGAGGTCATTTGCCTCCCTGACACCCCTCCCTTCGTCCTCAACAGATAAAAGCTGTGGCCCAGAAAGCGACCTCCAGAACTGCAACTAAATCCCAGATTTCGGCCCAGCCTTTGGAGACGTTAAAGGCCACTCGAACATCATTCCAGACCTAGTCACGGAAGCGATGCCCGCCTCGTAGATTCATACGGTTCTTAAAATGGTAATTTGGAGTAAAATGTAACTCAAAGAACTTTGAATCATTCATTAGCACCTTATAATTACTCTGCTAATTAGGTTGACACGGCACTTAATCAGGAGTAATATGCCGTCTTGTCACTGGCACTTCCCATTACTCTGACATTCAACAAGAGACAGGTTGGAGACGTCCTAGAGAAAATAATGCAAGTTGATACCCTCCAACGAGGCGTCACACTCATGCTCCGGATCCCAAGCGGATCCGCAGTGACTGTTTCCTTTCCATATGAGCGCTCGCCGAAAGGGGCCAGGGGACAGGGTTGGACGGACTGCCGGGGGGCGCGGCAGGGGCGCGGGCTGCAGACCAGCCGCTATGGGTCCTGAGCTCTGCGCCCGCCCGACACCGCAGTGAACCGTAGCTGCCCTCACCACCAGAGAACGCCTCGGGCATTAGCTCCCCTGTTCGGGAGAAAGCGTCTGGCCAGGCATTTCTTCCAGCACGGGCTCTCACTGGAGACCAGGCTGGGCCCCCGGCTTGGAGCTTCAGGTCTCGTCCTCCCCTAGAGTGCCTGGTGGACGCGGACCCGGCTGTGTCCCTCTCAGGGACCCGCCGCCCGCTGGGCCGAGCCCAAGCGCCTGGGTTCGTTGGGGGAGAAATCAGAGCCCAGAGCCCGCCCGCACGCTTATGCAAGGCTCTGGCGCCTGAAGTGACACACTTTTCTGTGAATTCCTTCAGGGATCCCCTTCCTCCTCTCTTAATGTCTTCGGACTATTCCCGCGCGCGTTGGGGGAGGCTGCGAGGGCGGCCGCGCTGGAGCCTAAAGGTAAGTCCCTACCCGTCCTCTTTTCCCTCTCTCTTCTGACTTAAGAAAACGGGCAAAGCCTTGCTACTTTTTTTTTTTTCTTTCTCCCCTTTGGTTCCCTTTCTCTGGTCTCCCTCTGATCTTTTCCCCGCCTCTCCCTTTGCCCTGCACTGGTGATTGTGGACACCGGGACCACTTGACTCGGAGTTCGGTTCCGGGATGCGGGCGCAAGGATGTGCGGCTTCTCAAAAGAGCAGCGAAGTCCGAGCCGAGTCCGCTGACCGGCTCGCGAGCGCTGCGCCTATTGGCTCCCGGCACGTCGGCGTCCCTCGCTCGCGCGGGCGCGGCCAATGGGGGCGCGGGGCCGGGCGCGCGGTCTCGGCAGCGGGGGCGCGGGCCGGCGCGGCGCGGCGCTGGGAGCGGCGGCAGTGGCCGTGACGTCACGGGAGGGGGTCGGCGCCGCCCGCGAGCAGCCGGATTACAAGCGAAAGCGCCTGGCAGCGGCCGGAGTCGCCCGGCATCGCGTCTCCGCCGCCTGCGCCGCCTGCGCCGGTTTCTTCTCGCTGTCCTCTTCTTCCTCCTCCTCCTCGCGTTGCCGCGGCCGCTGCGGCCGTGTCTGCCCGCAACTTTCCAAGAAAGTTCAGAAACTCGGCTACGGGGCTACCGAGTGGCGCGCGGCTGCCACCTCGGGAGCCGCGGGGGAGCTCTGAGGGCGCGCGGCCGCCCGGGCCTCGCCGTCGCTGCACCTGCCGCGTCCGCCGCCGCCACCGCTGCTGCCAGGTGCCAGGCTGTGGGCAGACCCCGGCAGCGGCGGCGGCGGCGGCGGCTTCGGGGTAGCTTCCCGCCGCCTGCGCTTTCGCCTGGGTCCTCCGCGTCGCCACCGCCGCGCCACGTGCGCAGTCGTTCCTGGAGCGCTAGTTCCTGGAGCGCACGTTCCGAGCTTTCTCAGAAAAATTTTTAACTACCCCCCCCCCGCACCGCATCATCTTTTTTTCTTCCCACTCCTACTTTTTGCATGAGAGAAAAAAAGTTGTGTCGAAAGTATCCACCGATTGCCACTTCCCAATTCCCCGTCCTCATCTCCCCGCCCTTCTTTTTTTTTTCTTTTTTTTTTTTTTTTTTTTTTTTTTTTTTAAGCGGCGGCAACATTGTTTGGTGTTTATTTTGTTTTACGATCGATAGCTTCCTTCGCTGGTTCCGGGCGGCTGCTGAACGGCGGAGTGGCGTGGACCTCATGTAGAAATGACAACAATGGAAGGGGCCAGCGGGTCGAGTTTTGGAATAGACACGATTTTATCCAGTGCCAGTTCAGGCAGCCCGGGCATGATGAATGGAGATTTCCGCCCGCTCGGTGAGGCCAGGACCACGGATTTTAGGAGTCAGGCCACCCCATCTCCCTGTTCGGAGATTGATACCGTAGGGACGGCGCCGCCTTCTCCTATTTCAGTCACCATGGAGCCCCCGGAGCAGCATCTGGTAGCAGACGCGACCCAGCATCATCACCACCTCCACCACAGCCAACAGCCGCCGCCACCGGCCGCGGCCCCGACCCAAAGTTTGCAGCCTTCGCCCCAACAGCAGCCGCCGCCACAGCAGCCGCCGCCGCCCGCCCAGCAGCTGGGCTCGGCCGCCTCGGCCCCCAGGACTTCTACGTCTTCTTTTTTAATTAAGGACATCTTGGGCGACAGCAAACCTCTGGCGGCATGTGCACCCTACAGCACCAGTGTATCCTCTCCCCACCACACCCCGAAGCAGGAGAGCAACGCAGTGCACGAGAGCTTCAGGCCAAAGCTCGAGCAGGAGGACAGCAAAACCAAACTCGACAAGCGGGAGGATTCCCAGAGCGACATCAAATGCCATGGTGAGTCCCGCCACCCAGCGCTCTTGGCTTGTCCTCCTGGTTCCCAATCTCCCCTCAGCCTTCAGCAGATTTCTGTTGGGGAGCGATTCCGGGCGCATCTCGGGCGACTGGGCGACGGTTAAAAGACTGCAAGCTGAAGGGAGGCCTGGGCGTGAGATTTGGGGACTCTTCGAAGTTCTGTTTATTGTTAAATTTCTACCCCACAACCTTCAACGGCCATCCAGCTCCTTCCTTTGTTTTACTTAATTTTAATCTATTGGGGGTTAAGGGGGGGGTGGAGGGCATCCGACAGGAAATACTTTTCGTTGATAAAAGGGATGGACTTGGGGTTTTTCTAGCTGAGACTTTGGGAATGGGAATGGGAATGTGGGGAGGTGGGAGAGAGAAACCACTTAGCTAGCGTGGATGTGATCACAACCTGGTGTTCGTTCTTTAATGCAAGTGATTTCACCCCCCACCTTATTTTCTAAACACCATCACAGGAATTATCGGTTTTAATGAAGGAAAAATTTCTGAGTTTCATGAACAGAGCAACTTGTAAAAAATTAGATCGTGGTTAGTATAGGGAAGCCCGTAAAAATTTGTAATCAGTTTCTTAAAAGCACCCTTCTTATCCTATGGCCTCAACTGAATATCTGTATCCTATGAAGATTTTTGGCCCCTTACAAGTAATTAGGAGGTAGTATTTATAAAAATAAAATCTTTTGAAATTGGATTAATCTCCTTTTTGTTAAAAAAAAAGATGACAATGGAAATTGTCCTTGAACTCCCTTTTCCCATTTTCTCCTCAGACAATTTCATAAGTAAATGTGGTAGTCTTTGCATGGGAAGAGTTTTAATATACCAGGAGCGTTTTTTCTTCCTTTACAGATACGTTGCTTTTTTATTATTGATCTTGTTTTTTCTGGTAAAGAAATATGCTGACTGTCTGGAAGGTAGGACGTTAGCTCCTCATTTTACTATTATAGTATTAGCATAATAGTGTCCAAAACAGATGTACAGTCTGGTCTGGCGATTTTTTGTGCACCAACCTCCCCAGTGGGTCAATTAGAGAGATTATTGTTCTTCCTGCAGGGAAGATCAAGGAGCACTGCACAAACGGGTACAAACAGGGAGGGATTGACATATCGATTTCCCAGCATTTCAGTAAAAAACCAAAGTTGACAAATAGAATCCGGAAATCTCCATGCTGTCACCTGGATGGGCTCAGTGATTTTGAGCTCAACTCGGTGTTTGGGTGACATACTCTTTGTGAAACTTTAAAAGACCCGATGCAGGCTTCAGAAAGCTTGATTCCAACATTTCCCAGGTGCATCTGAAAAAGAAAAACACCCATAACTTTCAGAAAACAGAAAAGTAAAATGAAAAAGATGCCCCCTCCTCAAAAAACAAAACAAAAAAAAAGAGTAGAAAGACCCTTTGAAAAGTACCAAATCAGTTAAACAAAGTCAGCATATTTCTTTACCAGAAAAACAAGGATCAATAAACAATACTGAAAACAATAAAGGAAAGGGAGAGCATCTCTCTCAATCAAGGAAACAATAACAAAATAACCCTTTTTAAAAGTTTTATTTTTAAACATTTTTACTTTTTAATTTCCAACCATGTGAAGATCAGACCCCCTTTTAGGCCCCCTTTAGAACCTCTGAACAAGGCCCCACACTCTGCAGTCTGAACACAGCCCTCTTCCTCCACATGGGCTAAGGCCTGAGTGTGTGTGTGTTCTGGGGGTGGCAGAGTGTAGTCCCCCGAGGCCAGTGGTTAGCTTGGGAATGTGGAAGTGTATGCCAGGAGGACACTCAGTCCTTCCCCATTCCAGGCTAACTTACCACTGTGTCTGGGTTTATATGGTAGGGACAAAGGAGGAAGGAGACCGGGAGATTACGAGTAGCCGTGAGAGTCCCCCTGTGAGAGCCAAGAAGCCTCGAAAAGCAAGGACAGCTTTTTCCGACCACCAGCTCAATCAACTGGAGCGTAGCTTTGAGCGGCAGAAGTACCTCAGTGTGCAGGATCGCATGGACCTGGCTGCAGCGCTCAACCTCACTGACACCCAAGTCAAGACCTGGTACCAGAACCGCAGGTAAGGGAGGCAGTTTGTGGGAACAAAGGTGTCTGGCCATTTAAGTCATGAATCTTCTTCTCTCCTGGCCTCCAGAGACTCTAAGGACTGAGAGAGACCCTGGAGTGGGCACTTGGGTGCTTTAAGGATGAGGTAGGGATGAGCCACACCCCCAAGGTGAGAGGGACCAAAGGGCAGCTGGAATTTGGACAATTTTGCACTTCTAAGTGCTTTAACAGGTGTTACTTTTCCTCTGAAACCCGAGCCGCTGGAATTCCCCCCACTTCATCCCCAAATCAATGAAGCCACACCTTCTCAAATTGAGACATCTGTGCAGCTGACACTCAGGTCTAGAGAGCCTGCGTGGTGCACCCCTTGGGCCTGCCCCAGGCTGGTTCCAAAGGTTTGTAGCTGACGACAGCAAGGCCCGGCCCAGCTATTGCTATCTCCACAGAGCTATCCCAGCCGCCTCGGCGTAAATGTCCTTGCTTTGGCCTGTGAGGTGGCTGGGAGAAGCAGGGTCCCAGCCTTGGTCAGTGTAGCTGCAGAGACTAGGAGAGCCCAGCTGGGTTAGAGTTGGTTTGGCAGCTGCAGGCTGGAGAATCGGCGGCTGGCCAAGCATCCGTACAGGGAGAAGGAGGGAGTGTGGGTCTGTCCCCTGTACTGGCTGCCTTTGCTGTCTCAACATGGAGCAAGAGTGCTGCAGAACCTTCCTGGCACTGCTCCTTCTCTAGAAGGGAAATTAAGAAAGCAAAAGTGGCTGGTAGTGCTTGCTGGGCCGGGAAGTGTAGAGCAGAACCTGGGCAATCTGAAGCAGAGGTTTCGCTGTGTTTTCAAGCCTGGCACTCATCTCCTTGTCTCGATTTTCTCTCCCCCTCCTTTTCTCTCGCTTGTGTTCTAATCGTCCATAAGTGCGGTTGGAAATGCCCATCCAGTCCTCATCTTTACCATAATTTTCTGTCTCATTACATACGGTTTCAGCCACCCTAATTCTGTCGGAAAACATTAGTGTCATTTGTAGCCAATTTAAAATGGGCGACATGTTTATTAATTTGGCTGGAGCTGCCGAGTATGGATGGCCCACCAGTCCTGCGTTCCTTCATAAGTCATTTGAGCAACCGCCTGCTCTCTTCTTCCTAGCAGGGTATGCAGTGGGGGAAGGAGGAGACTGAGAAAAGCTGATCACAGGTTTTGATTGTTACTTTCTCCCTGAGGAGGAAATATCTTGAAATGCATTTCCCCCTCAGAATGGCCAGGAGGTACTTTGCCCTTGGGAGAGCCCTCCCTCAAATGAATTCCATTTTGAGACCTTGTTGCCATCCTCCCCTTAAGCTCCCTGCCCACTGTAAGGTCCCGTCAGACTTATGAGAGAAATATGTCTCCCAGCCCTGGGGACTGAGAGGGGCTGGGGTCCCTGACTTAGGAGTCTCTGCATCCTTTTGTTTACGGTTTCTTCTCTCTCAGCCTGTGGGGGAAGGAAGAGGGGCTGAGAGCAGACTCTTTGGGATTGCTGGGAGTAGGGGGATGTGGAAGGGAAATTAAGGAAGGAGGAAAGTGACTGCTTGTGGAAGTCTCCTTTGGCCCTAAGGAAAGTTTCCAGAAGTAGTCAAACTACAAGGGGGGCAACAGCAGAGCAGAGCTTTAGGAAAAGGCAGCAAAGCTTGTAGGATCTCATTTGTGAGGGTCTCTGCCATTGAAGGTATAATTTACAAAACTGGCTTTGGGTTTGGGTCTTTCTGGGAGCAAGGCTGGGGCAGGAGATGTAGTGCATTGCCAGTTTGAATAGGTCTCTGAGTCTTCCTGCCACCCAGGGGAGAAAGAAGGAGGAGGCAGGAAGGGCCAGAGAAGGGGCTGGGTCTTGGTGCCTGGACCATGCCCACAGCATGCCTGCACGCCCGCTTTCTTTCAGGACCAAGTGGAAGCGGCAGACAGCGGTGGGCCTGGAATTGCTGGCCGAGGCAGGGAACTACTCAGCGCTGCAGAGGATGTTTCCATCGCCTTATTTCTATCACCCAAGCCTGCTGGGCAGCATGGACAGCACTACGGCGGCGGCGGCTGCCGCTGCCATGTACAGCAGCATGTACCGGACTCCTCCAGCACCCCATCCCCAGCTGCAGCGGCCCCTGGTGCCCCGCGTTCTCATCCACGGCCTAGGGCCTGGGGGACAGCCAGCCCTTAATCCCTTGTCCAGCCCCATCCCGGGCACCCCACACCCCCGGTGAAAACATTGCAGGAAGGCACTGCAATCCCTTCCCCATATCCCTGCCCAACCCGGACTGCTGCCCTTCCTCTCCCCGCTCCAGGCCACTAGGCCTCCCTTGCAGCCGACTCTGGAAGGCAGAGGAGTAAGAGAGAAAGATGCTTACCAGTGGGTCGGGGACCCCCAAAGAGGAGCCAGCCCTCTGCTCTCCATCTCCTCACCCCTAGAAACAGGGCTGGAAAGCTCCCCCACAGCAGTGTGACTGGCGAAAATGCTGACCCCACTCAAAGTGCGACCAGTAAGTGAAAACAACAAAAACAAAACCTCAGATTCTTTTAAAAAAATGACTTTAGGGACAAGCAGGAGGGAGGGAGGGGGGAGGGCTCAGGAGGGAAGAAAGAAGGGCACGGAGCGGAAACCGCACAGGCAGAGAGAACTGTAGATGGACAGCCAGCCTCAAGTGCTGAGGCAAAGGGCGTTGCCGAGGACATTCCGTCTGCCCCAGAGAAAAGAGGAGGGTAACTGAGAACTTTGCACTGATTTCTCATGACCTTTTTTCTTTTGGAAAAGTGGCATGCTCCATAATATGAAAAAAATGTACATTTGAAAGACTGAGTGATAAGTGATATATCATATTTATTATATGTTGTCCAAAAAGAGTCACTTATATACGTTAGTAAAAACATGATTTTTCTTTTCATGTCTTTTTGATTCAGTAAAATAAATGCTTAGACAAAAATATAGATTTTTTTGTGATTGAAAATTACAAAAATAAAGTTTATCTTTTTTTAACAAGTGATGAAATCCAAGGGAGCTGATTTTACTAAAGCAGAATGTACTATGATGAAGTGCTGACTTAGTTTAGAACGACAAATTTCTTCTGAAATATTAGGAATTTACAAAATCCGTAAAGAAGTTGGGTTGGCTTGTATAAAAGCAGCTCCATTTTTCGTGCTGGCCTCTTCGGAACCATTATTTGATAAGTGTGAGTTCCTTTCTCTTTAAGTGGATGGTTTCAAAGCAACCCAGGAGGCCCTGGGAGAAAATCTGTACTTGTAGGCTGTTGGTGCTGGCTAAGTCGGTGACCAACCTTGCTGCCGTCCTGACCTGCATAGAGGCCCCCGCTTGACCGATGGTGTGGTGATCCCTCGGTCCACTCCTCCTCCTCCTAGGGGTCTTCCTGGGGCAGTGAGGGTCCTAAGCGTTGGGCAGTGATGACAACGCCGACAGGGGCTGGGCGGCAGGCGGACTCTCCTCGGGCCTTGCAGCTGTTCTGCTGCCCGCGGCTGGGCGCCCGCGCGGTCGGACAGCCTGTGAGCGGGAGGCTGTGGGACGAGCAATTAGGACGCCCCGGGGGGACTTGGAGAGGCCCAACTAACAAACCCTTGTGGCAGCTTTGATCGTTGCCTTCTCAGTCCCTGGCGGCAGGCGTCCGGCCCCCAGCCCCATGCGAAGCCGCTTGTCCTAGTGAGTTCGTTGTGCTGCGATGCCTGGAGCTCCTTTGCAAGGGTGAACTCAGGCTGAGACTGGCTGCCAAGCCTTTTATCTGCACCCTTGGGACAGCTGGGACTGCAAAATAGGAGACCCTGCCCAGAGTGTGGAGGAGGCCCGCTGCCTGCTTTAGGAGTGTGTGTGAGTGTGTGTAAGTAAATGTTTGTAGCACCCTGGCCTAAGTCAGCCATAAACACCACCCCTCACCCCCCATCAGGCTGGTTCCCCACCAGGTTCAGTGCTCAGAACTGTATGAAGGAGCCACTTAGTACAGCTACAGTTCCCAGGTTGCTCCCACTCCTCTCTAGCCCCCAGGTCACTTCCCAAGTAGCCAGAGTCAGATCTCATATGTGGGTATCCTCACATTTCTATCCTCACTCATACCCTAGTACAGTGACAAAGAGGTAATACAAGCAGCTAAAATACATCTGGACCTGGCCTCCAGCTTTCTCTGACGGTTGAACCTTAGTGTAGTTAAAAATGTGAAGTGATGTGGGAATGTATATTTAGGAGGGGTGAGAAAGAAGAAGAGAAGAAAGGTGAAATCCAGGTGGAAATTGCCTGGGGGGCACCTTGATCAGATCTTGGCTAATTAGGAAGTGGTTTGCAGATTTATCTCCAGCTCATCAATTTGCTTTAAACTTGGTCTTGGTCTTGTTTGATTCTAACAAAAGGGTCTGGACTGGCCCTTCTCATGTTCTGCCTGCTTCGCTGAGACAAACTTAGACAGCTGGGCTTGGCTGGAAATTGGGCGCTGCTATGTCTAGTTAGGATGTCTAATACCTAGGCACTTAGCAGACCCTCCTTGTTTCATCTGGCAGTTGGGCTTTTTGATCAAGTTTAAACAGTTTAAAAGTGGTCTGCCTAGGCCTAAAAAGGCACTCTCCAAGGTTTGAGGGTGCTATAGTTTCTGTTTGTACTGAAATCAGGGCTGCTCAACTCTAGGCACAAGGAGGGATTTGAGAAGCCACAGAGTTCATGCCTACAAAGAATCTGTACAAAGAATTAACTCAGATCTAGGTATGAAAAACACACAAAACTACAAATCCAAACAAGGCCAGAGCACCCATTTGCTGCCAGCGGTCCCCAGCCACCTGCAGGAGGGTGGGCCGGGAAGTCTGCCCACTGCTGCTTTACACTCAAGGCTGAACTTGAACTCCTGAGGTAGACAATGCAGGGGAAAGCACTGTGCCTACAGAGACAAGATCTCTTAATTAACCTCATATTCCTCTGCTGCTAGCAATTACTCAGGATGCATTATAGTCCTCCCCAAATCCAAGTTTCTTCAAAGTCATGTTTTCTTTCACCCCCTAAATCATGCAACTGAATGTGTCAATGTCCTTTCTAAATTTGTTTGGTTACCTGCTGTTGCGTAGAAGTTGGCAGATTGGATGTTGTGGGCTGGGGGAGATTGTCCTAGGAAGAAAAGTTGGGTGGGTGCCTGGTTCCTTCCTTCCTTCCTTCCTTCTTTCCTTCCTTCCTTCCTTCCTTCCTTCCTTCCTTTCCTTTCCTTTCTTTTCCTTTCCTTTCTTTTCCTTTCCTTTCTTTTCCTTTCTTTTTCTTTTCTCTTTTCTTTTTTTCCTTTTCCTTTTTTCCTTCCTTCCTTCCTTCTTTCTTTTTCTTTCTTTTCTTTTTCTGCAGCAGTACTGCAAAGGGCACCTCAGCAGGTGCCCTAGTATTCAAAAGTCACTTGCTTAAAAGTCAAATGCAAACCCAATTTTTTTCTTCAGAAAGGGTCCTTCTTTCCTTCTGTGCCTGCTCAACTAAATTGGGGGGTTGGCTAGGAGGTGAAGAGTGCAACCCCAGGTTTTCTGAGAAGTGAGGAACAAGGTAACAGGCAGAGGCCTATTCTCGTGGGAAATCTGGAGTTACAGAGAACCAGAGGACAGCTGTCCCTGGGAGCTGTACTCTTTTTCTTTTTTTCCACCTTCAGCTGGTGTCTGAAGGGCACTTTGTGGCTGGACTCTGTTTAGATTGCTCCTTTGATTAAGTCGAAGGCTAGAAAAACAGGGACTTTCAGTGACAATCTTTGCTTCCTACAGAAACACAGTAATACAAATGTATTTCAGAGAGACGTTTAAAGACCTACAAAGGCCTCTTAGATTTGCCAACACCAAGATCAGCTCAGGGACCCCAGCAAACCTAGCACAAATCTGTAGTAAGTGTGAAGGAAGAAGTTAACTCCCTGGCTAGCAGCCAGCTGTTCTAGCCCAAACTAGTGATTTTTCAATGAGTTGCAAAGTAGTGATTGCTTCTTGGCTCAATGCCTCCAGCAAAGATACCTACCACCCTGTATCCGTTTAATTTTGCTCCACCCCTTAAAATGAAAGCCCGCACGATGGCAAATTAGACAGCTGATTTCCTCCCTTGCAAATAAAACTGCTTACTCTCCCTCCTCCTCCCTCCCTGCCATCTGACTCCTGCCTAGGCAGCCCTTCCCCAGGAGTCTGTCGGATCCCACCTCCCCTCTTTAAACAAGTGACTTGTGAGTAGTTTGTTTTGTTATATTTTTAACTTTCTAAAAATATTTGGAAAAGATCTCCCCAGGGCAAGGGAAACTTTAGTTCTTGTTAAGTCACGTGGTTACAGAAATATACTGGAAGAGAGCTGCCTGTTTTTTGAAAAAACCAAGCTTGAAGTCAACATGCTTGGAAAGAATGAGACTTTTCACCACTGGTGGACATGATCGGGGCAGGGTCAAGCCTTGGAGGGAATTGATGTTTCTTTTGCATCTCTGAATTTTTGGTAGGGAATTTGGGCTTGCCCTGTACCCTGGCTGTTGACTAGAGAGAGGTGTGGGCAGATGAGTGAGTGGGGGCTTCTCCAGGATTACTCCTATGGACTCTGGAACAATATCCCCAAGCTCTTTGAGTCTCCCACTAGGTCTTTGTCCAGTCCCATTTTTGGTCATCTCCAGGCTTCTTTGCTAACATTTGTGTCTTTTTCTGGAGTTAGGGACTCTTATTAGGGTCCAGTGCTGAGTGCCCTGACTTGTTACCTCATCCACAGGGCTGGGTAGGGGTAAGTAAGAGGGGTGTGTGGGGCTGTGGGGAGGTGTGCTTTCAGAGAAAGGGAGGTGTCATTGGCCTCTTGGATTAGAAAACCGGTCAGCTGTCTCGGGGCGATGAGATGACCCAGATGGGACTATTTCCCCCGCTCCTTCCGGCTGAATTTTGAAGGTCTCTGTCAGTTTGAGTGTTGCTGGGTGGACCGTCTCAGTCAACCTCACATTCTCAGTTTGTCTCCTCCTCTCCTTGTCTCATCCCCTGGGTCTCCTGCTCCTGGTTTCTTTCTGCTAGCACCACAGACAGCTCCCAGGGCACCCGGTGGAGCTAGGTAACCCGGGCTGGCGGGTTCAGGGTAAAGCCTAGGCTGCCGCAGCGAGCGCGTCAAGGAAGGGTCGGCGGCGCCCGGGGGGAGGTAGGCAAAGTGGTTACAAAGCACCCTCCCCGGCAGCGTTTCCTGATTAGCTCTAAGTCCAAACAGGGTCACATTCCAAAGAACAAAATCTTCAGATCAATAAAGTAATTCAGAAACCCAAAGATCTCAGGGTAAGTAGTGCTCAGTGACAGATCAACTCTAAATCGTCCCTATTTAATAAGTTATTAGTGGAAGCCGACGAGGGAGGAGTCGGGCCTCAGATCTGCGGGCTCCAAGACCTTGCGCCGTGGCTGCGACGAGGTGGCCGGCGGAACGCTTCTAACTGGCACATACTTCCTCTGTTCGCACAGCTCGGAGCGCGCTCGGCGAGCCGCCGCCTCGGCCATCGCAGGCAGAGCAGAAGCGCTCCCGAGGCAGCTGCCCTGCAGCTCGCGCTGGGCCCAGGCCCGGCTCCCCACCGCGGCTCTCAGCCCGCGCCCTCTCGATACAGATTTGGGTCTCTCCCAGCTCTTGCTACTATCGGGTCTGGGACAGCGGGTCGCCCCTGCGGGAGCTCCGCCGAAAGAAGAGGACCTTCGCGAGAGCGAGATTGAACTTGATTTACGATAAAAGGGCCCTGTCACTTTGTGAAGCTGATGGATTCCCGCCCCTACCCACCCCCATTCCCGCCGTCAGACTTGATTTTTTTAGTGAAGAGGCCCTCAGTGTGGCTCTCCTCCCGCCTCCTCCTAGCGAGTCGCACACACGGCGCAGCCAGGGATTTGGCGCGGCGGCCTTGAAGCCCAGCTGCGGCGCGCCGGCTCCGCGCGGGCTCTTGCTCGGCAAGTACCCCAGCTGGGCTCCGCGCTCCTCTGCCCTCAGGACCGCCCGGCCGCCTCGAGTTCCTGCGCTTGGGTACAGACAGCGCTTCAGAGAGGCATGGG